GACAAACATATTGTGTACACTTAATTTATGCGTTTGTCTAGTGCAGAAGTTTACAGACAGCTAAGGCAGGCAGGCTGTTGATCGAACGACTAACACGCTTAGCTTTGAATATTTGCCTAAGCTTGCAGGAAAAAATATGCCAAAATCCTTCTCATGGATTTAGCAACTTTGCTCAGATTTGAAGAACAAACATTTGCTGTGAAATTGAGCACAACTGTGACATTTGCAAAAAAGTAGTTAACACTTTTCCTTCCCCTCAATACTTATTGTTTCCCGGTATTTCCTTTTACAGCTCAGTTTGATAACATTAACTTCAACTGATGCTGAATTCAGCCAGTAGAGCAGCAGACCTAAGGAAGTGATTATAATAAAAGTTTTGGAGATTTTTCAACTCGAGGAAAAATTTGGGTACAATGTGCGTCGGCCATTAAACCTAGGAGTAAAAATCACCAGATAGTTTCAACTACTACATTTTCAGAGTATATTTAATCAGGCGTAAACAGAAACATACAGACTGACGTGCTCTAACTAGATCAGTCTGTCTCTCTTTTCTACAGTATGTCAACCAGATGGCAGTGATGTCTATATTCCAAGACTTAGAATAAGCCTGATTAAGCTTTTGTTGAGGAGTCAGCTTCTTAAAGAGCACTTTCACTTCCACATTTTGCATGATGAGAGTACAGATGACCACTCACTGCACTGGTGCTATTACCGCTGAGTGGGCCCTCTAGGAGACATATGAAACCAGATTTCCACAAGTAAGCACTCTCTCCCATCTTCATTAAAAGAAATTGTGTTTGTCCTAATTCCAGCTCCAGAAAGTGAGACATTTTGGGAAGAAAAGCATTCATGGATACTTTCCACGTTTATCGCATTGAACCTTGAGAAGACGGCCGAGGTGGGGACTGCATTAACAATCTGCCATGCTGCTACTGTACCTTTACATAGAGCTATTAAGACTGTTTCTCCTGTTAATAAAATCCATGCATTCTTACATTCAGTTGCATAATGTCAAGGTAAGACTACACATATTTTATCCAACACTGTTATCAAGTGTCTAGAGGCGCATACACAGCCATAATCCTATGAATAACGATGACTGACTGACAGTTAAATTCCAGGATGGCAGCTGAGGTGACTAATCACTATAATCAATTCAATCATTCATGGGGCCACATGGAAATAAAGAACAAGTCTGGTTTGCATGTCATACTGTCTGTGTCGTGTTCAGAAAGGCTTTACAATTGCAAAAGCTCCACAACTGCAAATGTGTAATTTGACAGTGCCTTAGCATGTGACCTTAATATTTAAAAAATGCAATATTAAGTAAGCAGGGGGCAGCTTTAAGTGACCAGGGAGCAGTAAGTGGGGACAGTGCCATGCTCTGTGTACCTCAGTGCACTTGGTGGACTCGAACCTTAAACCTTCAAGACCCAAGTCCACGTCCTTAACCATCAAGCCACCACTGCCCCGAAAAAAAACTATCAAACTAAAAATAAAAAAAAAACAGAACGTTGCGTTCAAACTACTTCTTGTCCAAATTACGAAGTAAAATCCCCTCCTGTTTAAAACACTTCAGCGCTTTTATTGTGAAACGTCAATTAAATAATCGATTCAGGTAACTTGCAGCGCACACAATACACGCAAGTATTTTCTGATTTAGACTCCGCTGACAACATAACATTCACACCGTAACACGCTGCCTTGGAAAACTCTGAAAGACACTGCAAGCCGGCGGATTACTGTGTTTAAAATGTTTACCTCACATTTACCTGTACTCTCTGCTCACACACTGATTAATAACAGCTGCAGCAGCTGAAATATCATCCAATACATCATGCAACGTAGCAAATAAAAAAGCACTCACCCCGTGGATTGAACTCAGACCACTTCCAGAATCAACTACAAAAGCCTGAACGGTGGCAGGTGTCCTGAATACTTCATTAGGTGACACCTTGAAATGACTTCAGCAGGTGGCGTGGTAAAAAACAAACATATTTGAATGTATTTGTTTTTCCCCATTACCCATTGTGGTACTTTAAATAATCTTACTTGTCTTAAAGTTGTTTGTAGTAATCTAGAATGAGTAATCCAAAAAAAGTGGGAGTTGTCTGTGTGGAAAGTCACAATAAATGATCACCTTTTTTTTATTTTTTAAATACTATCCTGCTTTAACATTAATGGTTGCCTGACACAGTCTGTTCAACCCAGACTTACAGACGAAACATCTGACTAAGGATTTGTCTCTCTCTCTCTTTTTAATCATGTTGAAATTCAACACTGTGACAATCACATTCATGAATTCCATGTTGCTGCAGCACCTTCACAAACCTCCTAGTAGCATTCATTAATAATGGCCAGAGCAAAACCTCACGTTAAGGCCCGGTGTGTCAAAACCATGTTTTCAGAAGCCTGCTGTGAGAACACTATGACAAATCCCTTCATTGCGTCCCAACTAACATGAATCTCTTCAGTCATGTGTAAAATATTATAGCGGTAAATTTCATGGGCCGTCATGCAAACACTGCCAATCCAAGTGTGACAGAAAACTTGTCAGACAAACCGTCGCATATGTGAACCTGCCACTCCGAGGCTATCCTCCCCACTCTGCTGCAGACAGTGATGATATTTTTCTGATTTTAAGAAATATCACTTGAATAATGATGAACAATAATCACAGCAGTTATGTGTGTTCTGAAGGAAACACATACATTTGCATGTTTTGTCAGTGTAAAAGCTGAAGCTCTGGTTGGAGAGAGTGTGTGTGGCACTACAAAACCCTGCAAGCTGTACATCAAACAGTGCCGTGACGACACCGTCCTCGTCCCCCCATGCTGTGCTAAATCCTTAGGAAGGTTTAACGTGTTGTCAGCATGTGATAAGGAACGCAAACATTTGTACACCTCCTGAAATGTGCTTCTTCTTTCAGGGGTGAGTCACATGTACTGGAACAAATATGGCTAACATTTGATGTTTGCAACTATTATGTAATTTGAGGCACATTTAGTATATTCATCCATACTGTAAACTGAAGGCTAATTAAAATATTTTGCACAAATATTTATTACTTTTATCCTACCCATTGTTTCTGCTGTCCTGGATTTTGATATACTTTAAGAATCAACCACAAATGCAGACTAATAGGTTTTTTAATATAAATATAAAATGATAAACTGTGTCCCTTCTAAAAACAGCAAGATGAAAAGCAGCAACAGCAGTTTTTAGTAGTTGTTAAACCAGTGGTGCTGATTTTTGAAGCTGCTATACATGCTGACAGAACCAAAAAACCTACAGTGAAGGAAAGGAAAATAGCATTTCCCAGTCCACAAATAGCCAGCTACGTGTCCACAAATATGAGGTCCGTGGGCCGGATGTGGACGCGAGCCACTTTTGCCTTCACTGAGCGTGTTCTTCTATGGTCATGTAAATGTATTTTATTTGAAAGAAAACATCACAGCAAAGCAACCACTCTTCTCATTTCTGGAAAGAAAAGTCCACGATTACACATCGAATGAACCAGACAGTAAAAATAGGACAATTTTCATCCTTTTGAAAGTAAAAAGCAATTACATTAAAAAGTGGACTAATTTAGAAATGGCCTGGTTGTACCTTTATGCCTGCCTGCACAGCTTGCACATCCTCTTAGGCTGCACTGCCTGGCAGTTATTGTGATGACAGCAATTAAATACCGTGTGATTTGTGTGCCAGTGGTATTACGACTCATCCGCCTGTGTGTCCTGTGTTCGTGCGCTGACAGGAACAAGGTTTGATGAATACAGTGTCAGTGCACAAACTGCAGCTAAAAGCTCCACACATAAACCTGGCCTGTCCTCAATGGAGCAACCATGAGAGAGTGGGATAAACCACACAAGTGGTTAACATGACACAGAGATCTCAGGGGGCTAACATAATACACAGTGTTCACACAAGCTGAAAACAGACAATGAATACAAGCCCCGCTCCTCACCTCAGGATTTCATACTCAAATAGGCAATATGTGTTTATGACCACATGAAAGACTACAGCAACGACTGGGTTTCTCACTGTGTCACCAGAGACACGGCACCACTGTCCAAATTAGAGGCATTGTGCTACGTTTGTCAGAATTGCGTGTCTTCAGCGTTCTCCTAATCTTCCTGTGGCTCTCCTGCTGCCATGTCCAAACTGGCTGTTTAGGCTGTGTGTGTGTGTGTGTGTGTGTGTGTGTGTTAAAAACCTCTCAGGTTGAAGAGAACACACACGGTGTGTAACAAACAACAAAATCAGCCCCGGAGGTTACAGCACTTTATAAGGACTTTTAAAATAAAAGTTGAATATGACAGACAATAAAAGAAGGTCAGGAGCATGCATTTGTTTTAGGAATCAGAAACGATTCTTTACCAAGTCAGTAATAGTACAAGGTTGGTATCAAGTGACGTCTGTCGAACTGTCAGTCTGTAGACCTTTGACTTGTCAGCAAATGTGACCGGACTGGACAGTGAACTTCAAGTTTAAATGTTGTAAAGTAAAAAATACACTTACCTTGAGAGAAGGAAGAAATCAATCAGATGTATTGTAACGGTAGACGTGTGTGTGTGTGTGTGTCTGTGTGTGTGTGTGTGTATATGTGTCAGTGAGAAGTTGATGTTTGCAGCATGTCGTGATTCACACAGTAAGAAGACAAATCAGGGACTGTACGTCCATAGACTGTCTGTCTCAGTGACTTACCGGTTCAGATGAAGCTTCACAAGCTTCACTACGACATTGCATTTAGGAACACATACCATGTAAATGTGTGAAGTGAAAACAAATGCCAACATCACACGGTAAATGTCAAGGAGCCAAAAAGAGCAAACTAAACGTCGTCATCATGAACAATCGCACACTAATGTAATTAAAAAGTTATATGAGAGTGGGACACGTCGTTTTAAATGCAGTGGAGCAAGAACGGTGACATTTAGCTAATGGTTGTTAGAATGGTAAGTCTATAGTCGACTATTTAAATAGAAGGAAAGTTTTACCTGGCATGTTCAGCAGGGACCTTAGGAGCCACGTTTCCCCTCTCTGCCCTGAGGAGGAGAGTCAAATAGGAAAGATCAGAGGTCCACTTACCCAACAAGGAGAAGAGGAGAAGATCACACCCAGGATGGAAGTCCCACACACCCCCAACTCATAACTTTAACAAAGCAGTGGAGCCAACCTGCTGTGGTGTTTTGGCTTCAAAAGTAACTAACACTAAAAGTGTCGACCACACAGGTTTCTTCTGCTCCGAGTGTCCCATGCAGTTTGAACGGACAAAAAAGAAAATAGTGGGAAAAAGCCAGAGCGACACCTACCTTGAACTGCTTTTCATAAAAGTCAGGAAAATCATTTCAAAAGACAAATGCCAATGGGCTTATATACTTCATTAACCATGAGTAGATAATACCACAAACACCCATCTCATAGTATAAGACAGCAGTACCTTTACTTTTACCTATAACGGTTGATGAAATGTTCCATGAAGAAAGCAGAGTCCAGACAAAAAGAGGAGAAAAAGAGGAGAGGGTACACCGAGTCATGGTCAAGTTAGAGAAAGAAGCAGGAGTAAATAAAGGTGTGGTGAGAAAATGACAGAAGAGATGACGGCACAGAGGTGCGAAGAAGAACATTTCTTATTCTCCTGCTTGTTCTACTCATACACGGAAAATGGTAGGACGAAGCGAAAGTAAGAAAATGTTGAATTTCTTTAAGGCTCCAACGTGCACTATGAGGTGAGGATGGAGTTTTTAGTGTGATTGTTTTTTTGTTTGTTTTTTTGCTATGCACTCTGCCCTTATGATGTTAAAGCAAACCTCTACGCCTCACGCTCCCATTTGCTTGATGACATGATACTAAATCATAACACGGAGGGTTAGATGTGAATAATTCAAAAGTAAAGAAAATAAATATGGAAATGTATGAGGTGGTGACACAGCAGAGAGCAGGGGTTCTGCTAAATGAGCTTGAAAAATATGTAAAACAGAAAACGTCAGTGATGGAACGAACACCATCTAGGTCATTCATGGAGTCTGTATCTGAAGCTGGAGGCCTGAGAGCCTCGCACAGGAGACAGTCACACACACACACGCAGGCACGCACACACACACACACACACACACACTTTTTCAAAGACAAAAGGGATTGGGAAGGACAATGGAGGAAATGACGGGAGAAACGAACAGAGCTCATACCTTGGTCGCCCATCATCAGGTGTGCCGGACCTTAAAGGAAAACAAGAGCACAGTCAGCAGAGAACAAGGGATCATGGGAAGTCATGTGACACTGCCACACAGGCATCTCTTTCAGAGTAGATGTCTGTGAAACTTCTGCAGTGTATGAATCAGGGGAAGAGTGAGGCGGAGAGAGAGAGACAGAGGAGGATGAACAGACAGGGTGGACTTGATGAGCATCGAGTCGACCAGAGGTGGTTCCAATGCATCATCAACCAATCGCTGGACACTAAACAGATACTTGAATTCAGGGTCGGTCTGACATGAGACATCTTCCACCTTGCTCATCTTTCGTGAAAGTTACAATGTAAATGCAACCTCAGACTTTACCTAAACCTTCACCAGTCAAACATCAGTTACCAATGAGAATAAGGCAACATTTTCTTTAATAAAATCAACTCACTTGAAGAGTAATCTGATTTTCTTTGTTTTGTTTTAAGTAAGTTGCTGTCTTTAATAAAATGTGTATGTAATTTTAATCAGTTTAAGTTTAAATGTAAATTATTTTTTAATTTAAATTTGCATAATTTGCCAGAAGAAAAAAAGTATCTTAGTTTAAACCACTTAAACAACAGAAATTGTAAACATTCAAGTCCATAAAAGTTACACAGGTTTGATGGAGTACAGCTTCACTTGACTTAGTACAGCACAATTTATAGAATTCCAATCTCCGATGTCACACCGTGGGATTACAAAACCGTTTATTGTTGCAGTTTTGGGTGAACAAATAAATGTTGGCACTAAATCAAGAAAGTCGGAGCCAAGGAGTACCGAATACCTAGGATATATATTTATCAACAACTAAAATACATCATTTGAAATACTTTTTACTATTTCTTTAAATAACAATTCCACCAAACCTATTTTAAATCAACTTCTAGTAAGTCATTTATCAGGACAGTTTCTGCTTTATAAACAACAAAAGGTGACTTTTGAAGCATGTGGGTGAGAGCCACATTTGTTAGATTTATCTGGCCCACACAAATGCCAAACAAAGGCAACAGTAACCCAAACATTTTTCTGGTCCAATTAAAGTTCATTTTTCAAATGTAATATAACAAAATGTAATTTTGTTTTGTTCTTTAAATTCACAGCGATGTTTTGTAAAACCTTTTCTACCTGACATATGGCAATGCAGCTTTTGGCCCAGATCGAACAAATCTGGGCCACTGGCCAAAATAATAGTGTTCTGGCGTAAAAATATTTAATTATCTTTACAATTCAAACCTCACTGCCTCAATCACCTTTTCCCTTTAATTAAATTACAAACTGCAACTATAATAATAATAATATCAGGTATTTTTATGTGTTCTTGCTGTGACTTTCAAAGGATTTCTTATGGAAAAACAAATTATTAAACTTATTATTAGATCATTTTGGTAAAAATCTAAACCATGACCTGCCTTAATCAGTCACCTGTGGTTGTTTGCGGAGCATGTGTTATTTTAGCAGCAATGGAATCTAACAAGCAGTGTTTTTTTTTTGTTTTGTTTGTTTGTTTGTTTGTTTTACCCACCTTCTTGGTCGTCTTCTGGCAGCACGGACAGACAGAGAGAAAGAGAGGAAAACATTCATTAAGCAGCATGCAGACTGGTACAGGCCATTGCATGTTGTAACCATGCAAGACGTTAAACATCACATGCAAGTGACCTACTATAATCTAACCTAACCTTGGTCATACAACAACCTGGAATAAAGAGTTGGAATAAATGAGCCCCTATTTAAATATTTAGACCTAAAATATTAGATCTATTCAGTTTAAACTGATCTCTTTCAACTGCCTGATTCCTGAATGATTTAAGAGCCAGTATTGATCATTAGAGCTGATAAAATCAGATGAAAAACCACGTTTTAGACAGGATTATCTTCTCATGCCTTTGCCCCGTTTAATATTTTATTCACCTGACTTTTTTTCAGACAAGATGAACTGTAACTATTTTATCACAAATAATTTACTCCAGCATGCTCTGAGGAATCAATAAGCATGAATTGTTTTGTTTGTTTTTTATCCCCCTTTCCTTAAATGTAAAGCTGCTCTAGACCATGTGAGATAAAGTGCACTCAGTGAGAAAATACCCTCAATAAATAGAGCTGGTTGTGGTAAAGCAATGATTTTAGAACAGGTATTGGGATCTCATGTTACTGGAACTCTATTGAGGGGATTTGGTCGCAGAGGTGAAAGTAACGACTGGTGAGCTGGTCCTGGAAGGGCCAAAAGAGAATTCATACCAAATAAAGGTGTCCTAACATCAATTCTACTGCAATCAGAGTGAGAAACGTGTCGAGGAGAAAGTTGCCAGGTAAGAGGTTTCACTTTCCAAAAGGAGAACAATGAAAAAGAGTGCAGACGTGTAAGGTAATAGGAGAGGTAAACATCATGCTTCTGGTCAGGAAATAAATTGGTTTCACAACATGATGTGACTGGAAGCATGCAAGCCGAGCAGAATGAGGGTGTGGACGAGACAGCACAGATTTCCTACAAAAAGAGCAAAGCAATGTCAGTCAGCCATGCTGGTCCTCAGTAGCTAGTTTTTCTGGTTCATCAGTACTCAGTAGCTAGTTTTTCTGGTTCATCAGTTCTGGTTCATCAGTTCTTCAGATCTTTTTCTTTTGTTTTTGTTTTTTTTTTTTTTTTGTTAAAGAAATATGTGTCTAAATACACAAAGCTTTGGATTTAAAGAAAAAAAAATGTTCATAACATAAAAATCAGAAATTACACATGCAACGTTCAATAAAAACAGTCAGAAAAGAAAACAAACGATGTTTCTGCCTTTAAACCTAACCAAGCAGCCAGACAGGAAGCAGCATCTCAAATCCACTGCCACACATCCTACCTCTTCACCAGTGGTTTCTGGACCAGGTTCAAGTGATTGTTTTGAACCAACACTTACCATCGCCGTGGGTTTCCTTTCCAAACTCAGACATCATGCACAAAAGTCAAACCAAAAAGCGTCATTTTGTGAACAAATTACAATACAGTTAAATATGAGAGTTATATCTTAACACCTCAACATCAACACGGTCAATATTAGAACCGACTTTGTTCGGTGAGTCCGATCGTTAGAATTCAAGACACTGCAAGGACAATTTGTTCACAAAATGTACGTATTGCATGATCATGAGATGCACAATTGCAGCAAAAAGATTTATGACGATGCAGGCATGAAGCTGAGGTGCAATGTGGCCACAGAAATAAAACAGGAAAAGATTATGAACTCTTTAGTGATGTAGAGACTCCATTGACTTTGGCCTCAGTATAAATTACCAACGTATTATGTTTATATTTGGTTATTACCTGTACAAGAGAGTTCCTTCCTTTTATATGTATTAGGGATTGTTTCCAAAATACTAACAGGTTTAATGGGTAGGACTTTAACAATGTCTAAATTAACTACATTAATGATAAAAAAATACTGTTTGGTATAAGAGCTTTAACTATTTAAAATATATTAGGATTTATTCAATTGAAATGCACATTGGAGTTATTTCTGTAGATAGGATGGTATTTATCTTTAAACAATAACTTATTCCGTTACATGTAGAAAATAATTGATAAAGCTTTGACAAACTTTGAAGTTTCTTTTTATTATTATTATTTTAGGGGGGAGCATTTCAGGACTAGCTCTGTGCAACATTACTGTATTTGCTATATCACTTTCAATAAACGACTCCTGATCGAGCCCCACATCACAAACACCCACCAATATTCCTGTGCAATGTTTTTGAACAGAGTCTGAGACGTCTTGGAAAAAAAAAAACTTTAACTATTGTTGTTGTTGTACTTTATTTGTTGGTTTGGCAACCAGTCTGAGAAAATCAGACTGGTTACCAGAAAAATTCCAAATAAAAAGAAAAAAACAAGTGCTCCACACACTCACACACGCACACACACACACTGCCATGTTAACAATAGTATCCAGCTGGTTACATCCTAATCCAGAGCTATAAAACCAGTTAATCCTCTCCACAAAGTGAACCCACTGCTATTGTGCTGGTAACATCAGACCAGGATGCACTTAACTGACTATCAGGCAGACTGCATCTCTGATGGTCCCTACTGTTGATTACACTCTCTGTCTGTGGCTCATCTGAGTACCACTGCCACACATCCTACCTCTTCACCAGTGGTTTCTGGACCAGGTTCAAGTGATTGTTTTGAACCAACACTTACCATCGCCGTGGGTTTCCTTTCCAAACTCAGACATCATGCACAAAAGTCAAACCAAAAAGCGTCATTTTGTGAACAAATTACAATACAGTTAAATATGAGAGTTATATCTTAACACCTCAACATCAACACGGTCAATATTAGAACCGACTTTGTTCGGTGAGTCCGATCGTTAGAATTCAAGACACTGCAAGGACAATTTGTTCACAAAATGTACGTATTGCATGATCATGAGATGCACAATTGCAGCAAAAAGATTTATGACGATGCAGGCATGAAGCTGAGGTGCAATGTGGCCACAGAAATAAAACAGGAAAAGATTATGAACTCTTTAGTGATGTAGAGACTCCATTGACTTTGGCCTCAGTATAAATTACCAACGTATTATGTTTATATTTGGTTATTACCTGTACAAGAGAGTTCCTTCCTTTTATATGTATTAGGGATTGTTTCCAAAATACTAACAGGTTTAATGGGTAGGACTTTAACAATGTCTAAATTAACTACATTAATGATAAAAAAATACTGTTTGGTATAAGAGCTTTAACTATTTAAAATATATTAGGATTTATTCAATTGAAATGCACATTGGAGTTATTTCTGTAGATAGGATGGTATTTATCTTTAAACAATAACTTATTCCGTTACATGTAGAAAATAATTGATAAAGCTTTGACAAACTTTGAAGTTTCTTTTTATTATTATTATTTTAGGGGGGAGCATTTCAGGACTAGCTCTGTGCAACATTACTGTATTTGCTATATCACTTTCAATAAACGACTCCTGATCGATCCCCACATCACAAACACCCACCAATATTCCTGTGCAATGTTTTTGAACAGAGTCTGAGACGTCTTGGAAAAAAAAAAACTTTAACTATTGTTGTTGTTGTACTTTATTTGTTGGTTTGGCAACCAGTCTGAGAAAATCAGACTGGTTACCAGAAAAATTCCAAATAAAAAGAAAAAAACAAGTGCTCCACACACTCTCTCACACACACACACACACTGACATGTTAACAATAGTATCCAGCTGGTTACATCCTAATCCAGAGCTATAAAACCAGTTAATCCTCTCCACAAAGTGAACCCACTGCTATTGTGCTGGTAACATCAGACCAGGATGCACTTAACTGACTATCAGGCAGACTGCATCTCTGATGGTCCCTACTGTTGATTACACTCTCTGTCTGTGGCTCATCTGAGTAATTACATTACTGTTCAGGTTGAATGCTTGTCCCATGAAATCCCCCGTGTGCTAAAATAGAATAAAAATAAATGGAATAAAAAAATGTTTATTTTTATTTCTTCTCTTTGTCTCGGGTGTCACACAGAGACTTCTGACACCTGTCTGACTCAGTGCTAAGAAGTATGACTGATCCAAAGTGACAGTTAGTAGAAAGCCAAACAGCTATACTCAACACACTGTCCAGGCCACTTGACAAAATGTCATGGACTTGTCTCTGTCTGTCCTCCGGTGTGTCAGTGAGTGCAGGGAACAGTGGCTGATGCCACATTCCACAGAGTTCAGCCTGTCACATATCTGGACATGTTGTCCAGCAATAGGGGTAATTTATTTCAACCCTCACCATGCTGGACGTGTGGATGATGAGTTCTGTCAGGAGATGCCTTTTATCTTGATTTATTTTTAATTTTTTTGCGTTTATTAGCAATGCTGCAAATCAGATTCTTTGATTTTCTCTCTCTTTTGCTTTTAGGGATGAGACTAATAAAACCAGTGTTTCTTCATTCACTCTCATCAGTAACTGGAGCAAACTTTTATTTTATTTAGTCTTGACACAAAGACATTGATTACCGAACATTTCCAGCTTCAGGAACTGCAGTGATCTTTATTGAGAACTGTATTTTCTACCAAACATGTTCTCATAGAACAGAGGTACTAAAATTAAATTGAAAAACAATAATGTTATACAAATAATGTTAATATAAAAAGACTTGCTTCCCTTAAATCTTAGAACTGCTCCCATATTGCATGATTATTCATGTTTTGCAACAATACATGACAGTTCTTGTTCAGCTTTATTACTCAGCTTCTTTATTACAGTACATAGCTTAGTTTGCTTTAGCTTTAAAATGAGTTTCAACAAGCTGCATTGTTATAAGGATGTCAATGTTTTAAATAATTTTAATTAAACTACGGTAATGTTTCATATTATTAAATATTATGTAACTGAGACATCCCATTGAAAGCAGCTCAGCCACAAGCCTGGTGCAGTTTATCCTGCAGACGTTGCTTTTAAAAAAGTGGGTCAGCTGCTCTAAGATTCATCGTGGAATAGCTTAAACTCAGAGCCTTATCTGACTATGGAGTCATTGTGAATGTTCCTGCAGATATATAGTGTG